ACTTGCCTCGGCGCCCAGGTGGGCATGTCGCCGAACGTGCTGTGGATGCGGCCGGGTCTGCAGGGCGGGCGCGAGGCGTGACTCAAGGCGACGAGACAGCCGCACACGCTCGCGGCAGCAGCTGGCGCGAAAACGCAAAGGCCTACCGCGAGAATCACGCGAACCTCGCCACCGAGGAACAATCGCGCAGAACATGGCCGCCATGCAGACGGCCGACGGTTTCGCCCTCGCGGCAGCTGCGGCCGTTTGCGAGCGCCGCGGCGGCGGCGGCGCCAGCAGCCGGTGATGTCAAGCGGGCTGGTGGGCGCGGCGGGGGTGCTCGCGACGCGCCGCTACCTACGTGCTGCAGACGGTCGGCGGCGGCGGCGGCGACGCCGGCGTGCCGATCACCGTCGAGCTGCCTCCCGAGCTGGGCGGCGCCGCCGCCGGCAACACGTACATCCAGCTGATCAACGAGAGCGGCGTCGTGCAGAACGTGCTGCTGCCCCCGCCGCCGCCGCAGCAGCAGCAGCAGCAGCAGCAGCAGCCGCAGCACCAGAACCAGTTCGTCTATCACTTCATCCCGCCGGCCGAGCCGGCGAGTGTCGCGGCGTCGCAGTGCGTGTCGCTGCCGTCCGCCACCGCGGGGCAGCATCACACTCTTCAGCCGATGGCCCTGTATCTGCAGCTGGACCCAGGTGCCGGAGTCGATCCCACACAAAGGGAAGCTGCCGAGAACGAGCTAGTCACGAAGGAGGCGAACCACGATCAGAACCCGCATAAGATGCATTGACTGCATCGATGAAGTGCGTAGATGAGATACGTTTTGTAAATAGTGATCAATAGTGCGATGGGTTTAAAAAAACTTTTAGCTGCAGACGGCATTCTTTCCTGCGGCAGTGTCTTCGTTTATTGTATGTGTTTACTTGGTTGAACAAGGAAGTGCAGAACGGATTTCCAGAATTACTCGGCAAAATTACTTTTGCTATTTTCAGTCCACCAGGTGACACTGTGTGTCCGTTGTGTAAACTAATTCAGGCTTTTCGGTTAGCAGTTTTATTCTTAAGTCTATGTAGTTGGATTAAAGTCGGCTGGTCGACGTCAGTAAGTGGTTGTCACGCTCATGAACATGCACAGTTTACTCTCTAAATCGGTTTCTTATTCTAGGTTAGAAGTTTGCTGCGCATTTTGCAATACTGTGACCCTTATATTGATTGAGAATACATGATGTTGTCATAGGCATCTATGTTGGAAACTGTAAACCCGTTTGTGCAAATAGCAATTTCTGGATTAATTAGCAACCGTTGTTGTACTCATATCATTGGAATATGAAATAATTTAAAATAAATATTAAATAATTACATATCACTGCTGTCATTGTGATTTTAATGCTATTGTGCAGTGTTGTGTATGCGTCAGGTATACTTATGTAGTAAATTCGTAAACCAGAAACATTTGTGTGTACGTATATGTACCCTGGGTATATTTTGTAGTACCACATACGACGGCCACTCTTTCAGCTGTAGTAGTGGGTGTGGTTGTGGTAGTGGCAGGGACTGGCGCTTAGCTATGGGTGGTGATGTGAACACAATTATGTGAACTCCCTTCTCGGATTTTATATTAGCAGTTATAGTGATTGCAGACTGTTAACTCTGAGTTGCAGACTTAACTTCTTTCTCTCTTAACTCTCTAAGGGCCAGGTGGCGCTTATACATCGGGCTTTTCTGGAATCTCTTTGCAGGAATTAAGTGTCCATTTAAAGAGATCCCATGCAGTCCGTGCTACCGTCCTTCAGCAATTGAGCTGCACAAGTTTAGGCCTTTGCTCCATTACACTGCATTGCACTGCATACCTTATTCAACCTATAGTAGTGTGGTCTGCAAATTGTACTTGGGCAAGGCGCCTTTCATATTATCTAACCACACGATAACGTAAACAACACAGTCACACTACCGTAGTAATCGAAAGTGTACCTGCATTTGGAATATTTACCATGAAACTTGTTTATTTCAATTGACTTCCTTGAACGTCTGTATGAAGTGTTTAGTCATACCCCTCGTGATATGATAAAACGCGATTCCTTTGAACGATGGCCGCGAGCCAATGCGTTAGCCGCACTCACTTCCTGCGGCTACGTTTGTGAGTAAAAACCTAAAAATTGGCCGATTTTCAACTGTTCTATTCAGTCCAGTCGCTATGGATAAACAGCGCCGTAGGACACCAGCTTAAAACCGGTGTGATTTGTCAACCTACGCGGTCGCCAGCTCACAGCAGGGACATGTGATTCTTGACGACCCGGTCATGTCCCGAGGTCATTTTAAATTCGATTTATAACCAGATTGTCAAGAGATGGACATGGGTCATGCACTAAGGGTCTTGCATTACTATATGCCGTATGCGTATATGTACTATAGAGTATTGAACGGGTATCCACACTAGTTCTATCGCGTTGCTAACAGTCTAGCAGCGGCTCCACTTAGTTTTATCTGATTTTCCACGAGCTAGGTTCCACTGATATAGATCTGAACGTCTGGCAACGACCAGAGGTGAAACAATCCCGATGTACATAACCTGGTGGCCAGGTCTAACGTGCATAGTTTCAGACTAGTACCATTGCTTTTACTGAACATTTTTACAATGACGGCACGCAATAAGACATTGATTTCAAGCTTGGGACGAGAAGATTTCCAGATCCTTCTTCTACAACGCACACCCAGTAGCGCAATGTTCCGAACCTGCAGCCTGTGATTGTGTGAGACAGGAGTGGAATGGACATGCAGCAGCAATGTCCTTGGTGAAATTGTTTTTGGGTCGGTATTGACGACTGACGGACAACGTTGATCACGAGCGTTATACGTTCGCCTGTGTACACGCATATTGAGACCAAGTGAACACCATTCCTAATAAATAAACGTCGCTGGCATATTTCCGGCCATAGCTAGATTTCAACACATAAATCTCATGCGTGTGTATATGTCCCCGCCGGCTCGATGATTAAGCATGCATTGGCGAATACTAGCTACAGTTGCCATATAGTGTACCTATATGTAGATCACACTTACTAATTAGCTGCTATTTCTCGCTATGTCTCAGTATGTCGGTTCATTATTCTTCCTGCACACGTTTAGCTCCACACCGAATACAGCTGATAGGCTTATTGCTTCAACTCTGTATCAAACTCAAATATTTTGTTTAGAAAGCTATATTTTCATATTTTTTCTGATATAAAGTAGCACATCTTTACACCTAAAATTTGAATTGACAATGTGTGACAGCCACGCAGTGCTCGCTATCTTCGACACTTTGCGCGCGCATGCGTCTTATCTCGACATCACATAGAGCAGAATGCGGGTGACCGCCTCCAACACACAATTGCCGCTGATCTTCTGCTAGCCGTGCGCAAGAAACGCTATCTGTCCCGCTGCGCCAATATAAATCTATCACTCTGTTTATGCAATTTTTCGCCAGCCTGCTAGTATTTGCCAAAGTATAATCGACTCATTCAACCGACAGAACTACGTCACGAATGCAGTGAGGATCGCTTATCGGGTCGCGTTTTAAATAACCGACCATTTAATTTCATCATAAGTGCTATATTTCGGGTTTAATGAGCCAGTGCGATATTGGCATGCTGCATATATCAGATTTATGCCATCGATAAATAATACCCGCCTGTAATTGATTATAGCTCGCCAGGGAGTGCAGGAGAATGGCCGCCGGCTCACGCACAGCATGCAATTTGATACACGATATATCTCAAGAATCCATAAAAATGGACTATGAAATTAGTATAGAAACAGTCTGGCAAAAAACGATTATTTTTGTTTCAAGTATTATCGTTAGTCGGTTGTGCCATATAATAATGTTATAAGTACATTTGAGCAGCGCGACGCTATTTTCGGAAAGGAATTTGAGTTATGAAGTAAGTTTACTCGACAGGAAAGATTAAAGTTTATAGTTCGCGAGAGCGGAAACATTGCCCATGTGAAAACATCATCTTCGTTCTTATCAAAACAGACAGCATCGCGATATTGCCTTCTCGAATATAATGCGTTTCTTAACTATACTCCTCAACACATTGTAGCATGCGGGCGCATCACACAAAAGAAGTAGTACTTAGCGTTCACCGTTCTTCAAAATCGGCAATCACCGGTTATATGTCGACAGATCTTGCAGGAAACTATATGCATATATATAATGTAATAGCTTTTATATCTCAACATCCATTATGTCCTTGGTCGCATCGGTGGTGAAGCTTCTCGTACTAATGGTATCCGAATCTCTGGAATTCGTTCTCCCAGTAACTGTGGCCCGCGAACTAGGGGTTAGCAACACCTACTATCTATCTATCTAACTATCTATCTATCTATTAGGTGCCGTACTCATTAATTCACAAACACCACAAGAACACCAGTATTTGTCTACAGTCCTATCGGGTACCGAAGCTTCCATTCCCCCATGTTGTGACTGTTCTGATTCTTGAGAAGTTTGTGCCGACTCTTCGCGTTGATTTTTCAGACGATTCTCCTCAATTTCTTCTTGTGTATATTCAGGCTCAAACCTATATCCAACTGGTAAATCACTATAAATATCATCATCACCTGCGTAATCACTAGAATCATTGAAATTATCACTTTCTGTTTTCATTTTATACACAACACTCAACTTGCGTTAGCGTGGCGTCGCTCAACTTGGGGCCGTGACGTCACATGACCTAGACTACTATTCATGTGTTTATTACTAATTGGGCGCCGGTTTTTGAAATGGAATACGTTATTGAATGTATTTCTATGTATAAAAACGTTACAGAAGTTAGAAAATTTGACTTCAATTGTCCTTTAATCTATCGTAAATACTGAGCAATGCATCGTCAAATATTTTATGCAAACATGTGTCATATCATCAACATTCTGTCTTCTACTAGAAAATGTTGATGATAATTATTCCTCTGCTATGCTAGAGTTCATATGCTAACAGTACAAATTATGTATAGTCATATCTCTTTGTATCTGTTTTACTAGTTGGCTTCTGTAGAGTCACTTGAAAATGATCACCTAAAGAATTCTGATGATGTGGATCACACTCTAAATGGTGTAACCTTACACTCTATTCCAAAAAGTAAAGGTAGGAATCCAGTTATATGTAAAATCCAGACTGTGGTTTGTGGTATGACAACCCCATTACAAAGTGAGATTCACATGTCTAACTAGAACGTGTTTGTTCCTGTTTTCATGTCTGTCAGCTGTTTGTCTGTCCACGTGCAATTGGTTTGTTACATGGATATGTACTGGGGTGGTTAGATTTTTGTATATTGAAATTCAGTTATTGAGAATACAAAAAGTTTTGCGGTTTGCTCAAAATTCTCTTATGGCGAAACAAACCGAACTCATGTGTCATGCATTTCACATGTCGAAAAGGTGTGGTTTGCTTTGCTACAAGTCCAAGTATGTTAATAGTAACCAGTATAGATTATGTCAATATATGTAGCATTTTCTAGATCTGCTTTCTACATTATATAACAATGAATTATTGTATATATATATATATATACTCGCTTACTATATCCCGTTTGTCTCGCAATGGGTGGTCCAAAAGATAATAGAAGAACACGACGTTTCGTGCGCTACTGCGACACTTCGTCAGGTGATGCGGCGACGTTGCGCGTGAGGTTATATATATCCCTCGGTTGGATTGAGCGGTACAACTGCTGGACAGGCGCTGCTGTGATTATATATATATATATATATATATATATCGGTCTGCCTGCACATATAGTCAGCTAGCAATGAATGTAGACCTAAATATAGATTGAGGTAAAGACATTTATATTGATATTGATATTATTATTGATATTGAAATTGGATATCGATCTTATAATTAACGCCTACAACAATCTTACACACGCGTACGTAAATATAAGCTGGAACTCGTGTCTTGGACGGGTGTTCACTGAACTAATGCATTTGATTAAAGGGTGTGGTATACAAGGATTTTACCGCGCGGCTACTTGTTAAGAAATCGTCAGGTCTGCGCATTATTTTTGGCAGTGAGCAGAATATCAGTGCTAGTTACTGTTATCTCTTCACTGCACCTTGTGAATCGATGCGGATTAACCTAAGCTCGCAGTCCGCCTATTTAACGGTTGTCTTTGTGCTCCGCAGTGCATATATTTTCTTTTCTTCGCCAGGTTACATGCTTTCCCCAGATTTCAATCTCATTGTCAGCCCATGACAGTAGCGCTACCCTGGTGCCTCGAGTGGGCGCGTATCTCTTCGTGACGTACCCCGCGGCGTCTACACGTCGCCAGGGTATCATTTTCCTCGCCGGATAGAAAGTAAATTCCCATGAGGCTGTCCGACTTATTAGCATTGTGTTTTTATAAGTAAAGAAAACAAGAGCGTCGGCGCGGTTCTTTATGTATGCATGTGAATGGCTCGCCCATCCTCTAACCCGCGTATAAACAGGTCAGTATACTCGCATTGTGTGGCCATAATATCTGGCCAATATAGACGTGCTGGGAAACCCATTCCGCAGCGAATAAGGCGCTAATAGAGTATGCGTGGCTAATGGAGGATAATAGGCGATATAATTCGCAAACTGAACGCATTGTAACATTGGTAGATGCACATTTTGATACGTCATATGTTCAAAATATCGAGATTAGGCCCATGGTAACGGAATAGCCAAAAGTGACAGACGACTACATCGATGGATGATAATATTCGGCGGTAAGGCACGCGTATGTGCAACGGGATCAGCTGGTTATTAGTGCGTGGTGCCTTTCGAGGCTGCTGCTGTTAATGCAATCAGGCCAATAAATGCGTCTCGTTGAATATTTGAATCGCTGCGGTACTGCGCTGCCTCTGCTACCCCACGCAGCGTCTATCGAAAACAAAGTCGCAGAGGAATCTCGAGCATGTGTAGCTTGGAAGCACAATGCTCGCGCTACTCGTCGTGCCGACGTCTGCTGAAGTTACTCGGCTCACGCGGGTAATGAGTGAACGCGATATGTATGCAGCTATGCACTCTCTTAGTAATCCGCAGCGTATGAACGGCTCGAGGAAAAAATCGTCTCTGAGCGGTGCCTCATCCCCGGGAGTCTGCGAAGCCAATATTGCAGGCATCTAATTCAATTGTGCGGGGTTAGCGAGTCTATATGGTGCATGCATAACCGCAGTTACCGGCTATGTAATTGCGATTGCTTCGGATTGACAGTTTTCCTTTGCTTTGTGCCCTTTGTCAGCGACTGTTATTATCCCCGCAGCTTTCTTAGTGATATGTTCGCGCCGTGTATTGGCTTCTTTAGATGCCGCTCACAAGCCTTTTGTTCGCCGGTCCGCTCGGTAGCCGTTTGAAGACTGATCGCGCACTGCGGGCGTCGGCTGAAGGGCAGTATACTGCGCGCGTGGAAGCGCTCACACCAGCGCAGTCCGGCCGACGACATTATTGCACCAACACTGATGACACACGATGGCCCGAATTACACACGCGCGCGCGCACCCACGCACACGCACGTACGTGCACGCACCCACCCACATACTCGCGCGCCGTCGTCCTTCCTCCCCTTTCACTCATTTTTCCTCACTCACTCCCCCCCCCCTACATACACTGACGTACTCGCACATACACTCACATATACGCACGTTAACACGTACACATGGCGCACACGCATAGTTTACTAACGGAATTATATATTGTTGAAAATGTATAGAGATATTTTTATTATAATCTTATTTTAATTGCTTTCATTGTGTTTAGTAGTAATTCACGCTCTTCTGCGACGGCGAGAGTCTAAACCGAAAATTGTGACCTATCTAGAATGGTCAAAATAAAATGTATAGAAATCAATACAGCACGGAACGAATGCATTTCAGTGTTAGGAGGGAGATCTAATTAACACCCAATAGTCACACAATGGTTGTGGTTGCAATTTGTTTGAATATACTATTGCATATCATCTACGCCAATCGCGCGTATTTGTTTTAAATGAGCTCATGTCAGTTATAGCTCAAATATTTCGTAAATTATGCGCGGCTGTGCAAGCCTTCTCGCTCAGCACTTATACACATGAATTTCCGCGTCGTAATTCCTGCAGGCTATCCCCTCATCAGCATGTATGGTGTGGTTGATTCGACGTCTGGTTTCACAGTAATTGGACGCGGTATCGCATAATTTTCACCTACTAAAATATTATCTGTGCCGACACACTGTCTTGGTGATTATGTTTGATTGTGTATCATGGACACTCATCATTTCTTTGTTAGGCTAACTGTGTCGTCTCGAATTGAACCTCGAGGGACCCCGGCGCACACTACCGCCCTTGTTATGCTTCATATCTGTAACTGTGAAAATATATCTGGCTAATATTAACCCATATTGTAGATAATTCGGAATATCGTTAAGGCAAACACTGTCGTTTGCTTTTCGTCGCGTGCTCTGTTAACTCTCATCGAGTCGTGTTCGCGAGATCCTCACTTTATACATGCTATACGCTCAGTGCAATGCGACTGTAGGTCATATTATGATTGAACATAAATACTTATTAATGGGGTTATTCTCATTATAAGTGATAATTCAATATTAGACTCATTTTGGCATTGCGTGATCGACACGTTTTTGGGTTAGCAATATAAAATAGGTCAAATTGACAAAATCCTTATTATTTTAAATGATGTTTAAGCTAGGCGTAGTATAGTTTTTTACTATTTGATTGCTGTATGGTTATAATATGATTATTGAAAGCAAAATACGGACAGTAGCTACTGCTAATTAACAGGTATTGTGTGTGTGTGTGTGTGTGTGTGTGTGTGTGTGTGTGTGTGTGTGTGTGTGTGTGTGTGTGTGTGTGCGTCGTGCGTGATGCGTGCTGCTGTGTGAGCAGTGGAGTGTAGGTAGAAACTCCTGACCGTGAGAGTCAGTGCTCTCTGGGCCTTACGAAGTCTAGGTTTCCACCTCCAACACTAAAGGCTTTAGCGTGCAACGAAACTGCTGTTGCTTCTAAAGTGTGACAGTGCATGAAGCCCACAATTATAACATTTCGCTATCACGTGAACGCCACTGATACTTGTCGTAACTAACATTGTAATTATATTGGCCTGACTCTATCTCACGCCGAAAGTCAGATTTTGAACCCCTCCAGTAAATTAGTTGAGAAGCATATTATAACATAGCACCAACGAAAAATGTAGTTCGGACGCCAGCTGTTTCATGCACCTGATAAAATTACCTCTCATTTCTAAGTTGTGAGTCCTGCTTTCATTAAACGTTTATTACTGTTGCCTTCACAATTTTATCAACTCGAGCATCTTACTGTCTGTAACGCATCGTTAATTGAACGATGTTTACATCAAGAGTTTTACGAGTAGCTACACCGAACACTCCGCCATTACCGATGTTAACTGCTTACTACACTGCGCCCATACAGCTCTGCGTCGCAGCGAAATTGACATATAGTGTTGATCGGACCATGTATACGGCCAAACACGGATCATCTTATTTCCATACGGAGCGACGGCCTCAGCCTGATGATGTTTGACATGTCAAACGCTCCTCGCATGTAAAAGGCCCTCGCCGCCGCTTGCCCGCGTGAAAGGATGCATGCCGTGTAGCTCGCAGTTCTCTCGACACGCCAGCCGTCTCTCCGTCATTACGCATTGCTGCGCCGCACGCTCACGATTCATTTCACTTTTATCAATTTCGTTTTATCCGCTTGATGGAAATTGCATAAGCTGCTTTGTGCCGGTTTTATCTCGGTTATTGCTACAGAAGAAATGATTAACCCTCTGAACTGTCAGCGCTGCCTGTCGAGATCAGTGTGATAGATGACAGAGGGCAACAGGAGTCAACATTCTTGCTATCAGACTTCACGCTGACCGTGTTTTCTGTTAAGTGCCACTGCTAGGCTAGCAGATTGCTGTTATTGCTCAGTCACCGCGATTAGAAGATTGTGTAAGATGTGATCCCCCCCCCCCCACTCCACACACACACATATTCCAACCCGTCATTCTTCCTATTCCGCTACGCGATGACCCTCTGTTATGGCCCTCAATTTTTCACAAATGTCCTGCATACGAAACATTTAATTGCATGATTAAGCAAAGAAGCTCGACCGCCTTTCACGTTCTCGGATCAGGTAGACCACGGGTGGAAGGCCACGTGTGATGAGGGGAGGAAGTGGAGGGGCACATATGATTTAATTCTAGTCATACCAAAGGCTGGTATCCAGGTTACCAGAGCTTCAGCGGACATTGATACAGACATCAAGGCAACAAATTACGCTGGTCTAGTAAAATTATTTAGTGCTTATTACTTTAATTATTCTTCGCTACCGGCCGCGGACCACCTCTACACAAGAGACGCTTACTCCCTTCTTCCCTCCCTCCCTCCCTCTCTCACTCACTCACTCACTCACTCACTCACTCACTCACTCACTCACTCACTCACTCACTCACTCACTCACTCACTCACTCA